GTTCATCAATATAAGTGTACAAGATAAGTGGGGGGATGGGTGAAAATAGATAAAGGAGATTAAGAGTACACTTACCTTGATGAACCCTTTGCTGACTTCTTAAAGGTTTTGATTGTGTGGGTCACAATGTTTGGATACTCTTTGAGATGCTCAAGTGAATTATCAGTGAATCATTTACTGTGTTTTTAAATGTCTTTACAATGGTTTGTATTACAATTTTAATGAAGTTCAGTGTTTTTTTTTAAAGATTTTTATTTATTTATTTGACAGATAGAGATCACAAGTAGGCAGAGAGGCAGGCAGAGAGAGGAGGAGGCAGGTTCCCTGCTGAGCAGAGAGCCCGATGTGGGGCTCGATCCCAGGACACTGGGACCATGACCTCAGCCGAAGGCAGAGGCTTTAACCCAGTGAGCCACCCACGCGCCCCGAAGTTCAGTGTTTTAAATAAAAATTAAATTGTGCTTTAATTAACATAAGATGTTTGACATAAAGCTCAAATAAACTTTATTTTTAAAGCTCATTATTATTTATTTCATGTGAAATTATTATTTATTTCATGTGAAATAATTGTGTAAGATTATGCTGACATATTCTTAGGTTACATGGATCTCAACAAAGTTCTTTAAATTCATATTATAAAATCATTTTAAAGTTGAAATTGTTAGGTAATATCACATATGTATGGGAAATTGTCAAAGCTATAAATTTTGAATAGAAAGAATTTTATATAGAACAATAACTAAAAATAATGATGCTGGTTTTAACAGCAGTCACTTTAGTTGGCCTTTCCCTGGTTTGAATTATTACATTATTTTTAGCACATTCAACCCAACATTCCTCTTTTCCATTCAGTATTTTTATTTCTGACATACACTTTTCTTGTATTTTATCAATTTAATTTTTCATGCAGCATACCTACTAAGACTATTTTATTCTAGTTGTTTTTTTCTACCAAGTTTTTCTTAAATTCCAGTTTGCTAACATACCTTGTAATATTAGTTTCATGTGTAGGATTTAGTGATTCATCACTTACATACAGCATCCAGTGCTCATCACAACAGGTGCCCTCCTTAATACCCATCACCCATTTAACCCATCCCCCACCCAATTTTCCCTCCAGCAACTCTTTTGTTTTCTATAGTTAAGAGTTCACTGTATGTTTTGCTTCTCTCTTTTCCCCTGTACATGTTCACCTGCTTTGTTTCTTAAATTCCACATGTAAGTGAAATCATATGGCATTTGTCTTTTTTGACTGACTTATTTTGCTTAGGGTAGTACTCTCTAGCTCCATCCATGTCATTGCAAATAGCAAGATTTCATTCTTTTTTATGGCTGACTATATTATGTTGTACATATAGTCACATCTTTAACCATTTATCAGTCAGTGGACATTTGGGCTCTTTCTGTAATTTGGCTATTGTTGGTAATACTGCTATAAACATTGGGGTACATGAATCTCTTTGAATCAGTACTTGTGTACCCTTTGGATAAATACCTAGTAGTGCAATTGCTGGGTCATAGGGTAGTACTATTTTTTAACTTTTTGAGGAACCTCCATACTGTTTTCCAGAGTGGCTGCACCAGTTGCATTCCCACCAAGAGTTTAAGAGGGTTCCCCTTTCTCCACACCCTTGCCAACATCTGTTGTTTCCTGTACTGCTAATTTTAGCCATTCTGACAGGTGTGAAGTAATATCTCATTGTGGTTTTGATTTGTATTTCCTTGATGGTAAGTTATGTTGAGCATCTTTTCACGTGTCTGTTAGCCATTTGTATGTCTTCTTTGGAAAAATGTCTATTCATGTATTCTGTTCATTTTTTAACTGGCTTTTTTTTGGGGGGGGTTGAATTTCAGAAGTTCTTTATATATTTTGGATACTAACCCTTTATGACCTATGTCATTTGCACATATCTTCTGCCATTCCATAGGCTGCCTTTTATTTTTGTTATTTCCTTCACTGTGCAGAAACTTTTTTTTTTAAAGATTTTATTTATTTATTTGACAGACAGAGATCACAAGTAGGCAGAGAGGCAAGCAGAGAGAGAGAGAGAGAGAGAGAGAGAGAGAGAGGAGGAAGCAGGCTCCCCGCTGAGCAGAGAGCCGGATGCGGTGCGCTCAATCCCAGGACCCTGAGATCATGACCTGAGCTGAAGGCAGAGGCTTTAACCCACTGAGCCACCCAGTGCCCCTGAAACTTTTTATCTTGATGAAGACCCAATAGTTTATTTATTTGTGTATTTTTTTAAAAGATTTTATTTATTAATTTAAGAGAGAGAATGAGAGAGAGAGAGCATGAGAAGGGGGAAGGACAGAAGAAGCAGATTCCCTGCTGTGATCCTGGAGTCTAGGATCATGACCTGAGCCAAAGGCAGTTACTTAACCAACTGAGCCACCCAGGCACCTTACCAATACTTTATTTTTTTAAAAAAAGATTTACGTATTTGTTTGAGAGAGAGAGAGTGAGGGAGTATGAGAGAGTGCATGAGGAGGAGCTGAGGGAGAGGAAGAGAGAATCTCAAGTAGACTCTGCACTGTGTGGAGCCCGACATGGGGCTCAATCGCACAACCCTGAGATCATGACCTTAGCTGAAACCAAAAATTGGATGCTCAACCTACTGCACTACCTAGGCATCCCCAATAGTTTTATTTATGCTTTTGTTTCCCTTGCTTGAGGATATGTATCTAGTAAGCAGTTGCTATGGCCAATGTCAAAGAGATTACCTCTATGTGCTCTCCTCTAAGATTTTGATGGTTTCCTGTCTACATTTAGGTCTTTCACCCATTCTGAATTTGTTCTTGTGTATGCTGTAAGAAAGTAGTGTTCTTTTGCGTTCTCTTGGGTATGCTGTAAGAAAGTCCATGTTCTTTTTCATGTGGCTGTCCAGTTTTCCCAACACCATTCGTTGAAGACACTGCCCCCCCCCCCCACTGGATATTGTTTCCTGCTTTGTCAAAGATTAGTAGATCATAGAGTTGTGGGTTCACTTCTGCACTTTCTGTTCTGTTCCTTTCACAAACATGTTTTTGTGCCAGTACCATACTATCTTGGTCATCACAGCTTTGTAATATACCTTGAAGTCTGGAATTGCTATGCCTCTAGTCTTGCTTTTCTTTTTCAAGATTGCTTTGGCTATTCAGGGTCTTTTGTGATTCCATACAAATTTTTGGATTATTTGTTCTAGCTCTGTGAAAAATGCTGGTCATATTTTGATGGGGATTGCCTTAAATGTGTAGGTTGCTTTGGGTAGTATAGACATTTTTACAATATTTGTTCTTCCAATGCATGAGCATGGAATGCTTTCCCATTTCTTTGTCTCATCTTCAATTTCTTTCAGAAGTGTTTTACAGGTTTCGGAGTATAGATCTTTAACCTCTTTAGTTTAGCTTATTCCTAGGTATCTTAGGGTTTTTGATGCTATTGTAAATGGGACTGATTCCTTGATTTCTCTTTCTGTTGCTTCATTATTGGTGTAGAGAAATGCAGCAGATTTCTGTATGTCGATTTGTACCCTGTGACTTTACTGAATTCATGTATCAGTTCTAGCAAATTTTTGGTGGAGCCTTTCCAGTTTTCTATACAGAGTGTCATGTCTTGTGCAAATAGTGACTTCTTCTTTGACTTCTTTCCTGATTTGGATGCCTTTTATTTCTCGTTGTTATTTGATTGCTGAGGTTAGTACTATGTTAAATAATAATGGTAAGAATGGACATCACTATCATGTTCCCGACCTTAGGGGAAAAGCTCTCGGTTTTTCCCTGTTGAGGATGATATTAGCTATAGTTCTTTTACATATGGCCTTTATGATGTTGATGTATGTACTCTCTATCCCTACTTTGTGGAAGGTTTATATCAAGAGTGGATCCTGGGGGTGCCTGGGTGGCTCAGTGGGTTAAGCCTCTGCCTTCGGCTCAGGTCATGATCTCAGGGTCCTGGGATCAAGCCCCACACCGGGCTCTCTGCTCAGCGGGGAGCCTGCTTCTCCCTCTCTCTGCCTGCCTCTCTGCCTACTTGTGATCTCTCTCTGTCAAATAAATAAATAAAATCTTAAAAAAAACTTTAATAAAAAAAAAGAGTGGATCCTGTACCTTGTCAAATGCTTTTTCTGTATCTATTAAGATCATATGGTTCTTATCCATTCTTTTATTAATGTGATGTATCACACTGATTGATTTGCAAATATTGAACCACCCTTGAAACCCAGGAGTAAATCCCACTTGATCATGGTGAATGACTGATTCTTGTAATTTACTGTTGGGTTCAATTGCTAGTATTTTGTTGAGGATTTTTGCATTCATGTTCATCATGCATATTGGCCTGTAGTTCTCTTTTTTAGTGGAGTCTTTGGTTTTAAGATCAAGGTAATGTTGGCCTCATAGAATATATTTGGAAGTTTCCTTTCCATTTCTATTTTTTGGAGCAGTTTCAGAAGAATAGGTAGTAACTCTTCTTCAAATGTTTGGGAGAATTGCCCTGGGAAGCCATCCTGCCCTGGACTTTTGTCAGATTTTCGATTACTGATTCAATTTTGCTGCTGGTTATCAGTTTGTTCAAGTTTTCTATTTCTCCCGCTTTCAGTTTTGGTGGTTTACATATTTCTAGGACTTTTCCATTTCTGCCAGATTGCCCAATTTGTTGGCATATAATTTTTCTGTGGTGTTGGTTGTGATCTCCCCTCTCTCATTCATGATTTAATTTATTTGGGTCCTTTCTCTTTTCTTTTTGGTAAGTACTGGCTAGGGGTTAATCAATTTTATTAATTTTTTTCAAAGAACCAGCTCTGGTTTCATGATCTGTTCTACTGTTTTTGTTGTTGCTGTTTCTGTATCATTGATTTCTACTCTAATCTTTATTATTTCTCTTCAGCTGCTGGCTTAGGAGTCACTTGTTCTTTTTTTAGATCCTCTAGGTGTAAAGTTATCCACAAAAGTTCTTAATTATTTCTCCATCTCATTTGAAGGTGAATAATGCATGAGTTCATTAAATTTCTGTATGTTTACAGTTGACAGTACTAAATCTGGGAAACAACCTTTTGGAAGAAATTCCAGAAGAGGTGAAATACCTTACATCCCTGAAGAGGCTTCATTTATTTGGAAATAAGATTTGTAAATTTGCATCTGGAGTATGTGGTAAGTTAGTCAAAGAAGGGCAACATTATGGAATCAAACTTAATCTTCTTATATTGGACAAGTAAAAAAGTAAAAAAGGATATTTTACCTTTTAATCATTTTTTGTTGCAGATATTTACACAGTATTCTTGAAATTAAGGAATTTGGGGTCCTTTTTTTCAACTATTGTATTATCTATTTCTCTAATGTAGACCTAAAAAAATAAGTTAGTATTAGATTTTTCTAAATCTAAAATCTAAAAAAGAAAACCTTCCCTTTTCAGAATCAGTGTACATTTTGACCCTTGAATCTAGAGGCCCTTTCTCTATGCCTGCGAGGAAACTGGTTGAAAATCAAATTAAGAAAAACTCTTCTTGTTCTTTACACTTTTTATTGTCTCAATGTTAAGCTACAATATTCGATCAAGATGCTAAGTTTAAAATCAAAGGAGAATTTGAAAGAAAAAAATATGAGATCCAATAATTGGCTTTTTTTTTTTTTTTGGTGTTTCCTTTCAACTTATAACTTCTCCATTCAATAGGATACTCTTCTTATTTAATATAGGGAGAAGGGCTTAAGGATAAAACACAAGACAAAGAGATCTAGATGATTTTTATAGCTTCATTGACCCATGTACAGTACTTTATCATTCTACGTCTTTGTCCTTATTAATAAAACTAAAGATATGTTTTGTGAACTTTTGAGACATGGGTGCTAGATATAATCACTGTCATCATCAAGCCGCATTTATTGAGGCTATCACTGCATGGGGCGCTAAATTAGGGGGCTATTTGGCAAATAGCACAAATAGACTTCGTATGATCTCTTTACTTTAAAATCCTGAATCATGTATCTTGGGGAAATAGTTTTTCAAAATAAGAACTGTAGTAAACACTTAACCGATGCTTATGCATGTTATATATGCAAATCCATAGATTCAGGGTTCAATTACACTTTACATAGGAAGAAAACAGTTTACATAAGGAAAAAATTAAGGGTGTGAAACAACCACAATTTTATAAACGATACTGAGGGGACAAACTTAAAACCTGACTTACATAAACAATATTATGCAACCTAGTTAATGCTGATTTAGGTTTCCATAAAGAAGTTTTTTTTCTTCTGTGCCCTTAAATAGGAGGTTTGTAAGATATATATAACCTGTGTACATTGCCCCTGGATGTCTGTAGTTGCTATTATTTCTTGGTTTTGGGCTGTTGAACTTTGAAAAGCCCATGTGAATGACAAAGAACATGTTTTATGTTGTGTCCTTATTATCCAAGAGCAGAAGTAGTTTAGTGTCAGGGAGTTGAGCGCTATCCAGCCTGTACTACATGACCCAATCACTCTGACCAGACCAGACTGGTCCGGGGCTAGACATGTGTCCCAAGATAGGCCGATATTAGTCTTTTTCTTGGGAATTATAGAAATCTAAAACAGTGTAACTGGTCTGAGCTCATCATATGAACTAAGATAGTGGTTGCAACTGGTGTCCTGTGAGCTGAAACTGTTTCACAAATAAGTTGGTTCTCTTTTGACAGCCTTTTAAAAAATTTGAATTAGGGTACCAAAATTTGCAAATCAGAAGAGTTCATTAAAAATAACAACAACAACAACAACAACAAACAAACTGGATCTCCCGCTCTTCTTTGTTTTAAGAAAGAAAGACTAGGCAATACTGGAATCACATTCCTACATGATAACAATGGCCAGGGGCTGACTGCATGGCAGCTGCCCTGTTAGATAAGGCAGGTGCTCACCAATTCCGCACACTCCTACCTGGTACACTCCTGCCTGGTACACTCCCACCAGGGCCACTAGGATGTTCTGAGTTATCTTCTCAGTTCCTGTAGGCATTTCAGTTTGAGAACTGTCTACCCGGTCCGTGAACATTTAAATGCAGCAATAGTAGGATGGCTATGAATGTATGGAAAATTAGAGAAAATCTACTCAAAAGAGAAAGCCTGGGGAGTGGGGGAAAGAGAGGAGTAGGAAGAGAAAGAGAGACAGAATATAAATATGAAGTTGAGAGAAGCTGTAATGAGAAATAAAACTCTGTGCTCTTCAGAGATGCCCTGAGAATGTATCCATTAGACTTTGAGAAACTCATGCGAGAGACATAGTATTAGTCTGGAGCAGGGTGTGGGTGTCCTTGCATATCACAACTTGTTTTAGTGGTTCAGTCCAAGAAACATGAGAAGCCCAGGAGACCCAGCATGAGCATTTCTGTAACTATGAAGAGCAATCGAAGGCCTACGTATATACATAAACAGCCAATATGTATATATGAACCTATAATCATGTAGCATTACATATCGATAACACGTATATATACATATATTTATGTTAATAAGATCCCCCCAGCCCCATGAGCTAAGGGCCCAGTGTGTTGGGCGGCCGGCACAGTCATGGCCAAGCCTAACAGGGAGAAGCCTGCCATGGAGATGTACCTGGACCTGCCTTGAGTCACCAACTTTGAGTTCAAAGGGTTGGTGGCGACGCCTCGGGAGATAGACCTCTAAGAGCAGATAGTGAGCCACACCATGACCTTTTCCCCTTGGCCGGCCTGCAGTAGAGCACCATCTCAGAATTCCGTGCAGGAAAGGCTCTCTGGGCCCCCCCGTGTGTGACACACACTGCTGTCAGTCCGATGAGCGGGGAAAAAGGACAAGCACACAGGCCCCCAGTCCGTCCGTCTGCTCTGCCTTGAGCTCTGCGCAGAGTCTGGTGGTCTAGGAGGACCTATTCCCCACGAAATGCACCAAAGAGTGCCTCAGCTCCTTTGCACCTCTGTTGAAGAAGATCCCCAAGTCCCCGTGCCAGGTGCTAGGGCGTCTACTCGTCCCTCTTCAAGGTCACGCTGGCCCTAGCGCTGCATGGACACTTGTTCACACTGTGGGTCCCCTTCGTTCTCCTCTCCAGGGAGTTCCACCTGAGCGGATGCGAAGAGAGTGCCGTCATGGGCCACCTGCCCGAGGTGCTGTGCAGCAGTGGGGCGGCGGCGGGAGCACAGGGGCGCGGAGCCCGTCGCACAGGCACGCGCACGTGCGGAGAGACGGTGGTACGCGTGCCTGCGTGCGTGTGCGCGCACGTGCCTGCGTGCGTGTGCGCGCACGTGCCCGGCTCGCGCGCAGGAGGTCTGCCCACTCACGCTGCCTCGCCGCGCGCCCGCCAAGGTGCTGGTGGCTGGTGCCTTTGACCGCTCTCCTTACGTGATTTTTCTGATGGATGGGTGAATGCCGCCAGTAAGGAGGACACTTTGAATTTCATTTATTCACTCAACATTTATGGAACAGCCCTTTTGAGTTAAAACTAAAACAAAATAACCCTGAGTTCAGGTGCCGCTTAGTTTCTGGTTCCAGTTTGTGGTGAGCCTGGCTGTGCTCTCTGCTCTTGGGCGCTGTGATTTAGCTTTTTAATTTGGGGACGAATTCCCTCTATTTTGTTTAAGCTAGTTTAAGAGGGTATCTGTCACCAGCGACCCCACGAGCCTTGGCCAAGGCAAGAAACCAGAAGGAAAACAACGGTATATAGAAAAGTGGCTACAAGTTATTCTCTAAGAGAGAGCTAACGTGACTAAAATTATTTCCCAACAGATGGCTTACAAAATTTGATTCTGCTTAATCTGAACAACAATCAGCTCACATGGATTCCTCAAGAAGTCAGCAGGTAATTCTGTTTATAGCTAGACTTCCAGCCCCACCCTGGTCCTCTGAACCTCAGCCTCATTGTCTGGCCTCTGCTCTCGTGGGCTTCGTACCTGGCAAAGAGGCATCTGAAGGACTGAGGCAAGCCACTACTCTTAAGCAAATGGTTCTTCAAACACTTGAGGGAAATGAAAAATAGCATGACTTGGCGGTCTAAGTGTAAAAGTGGGGGTTTGAAACCTAAAAGTTCTAAAGTTGATTGCATTATTGGTTTCCTCACTCTGGGGTTCTTGGAGTTTGCTCTGATACAGAATTGGGAACATTAAATTTTATTTCGTGAAGTACTGGAAACCATTTTCAGCTTAATGGAAAAAGTCATGTAAAAGCAAAGTCTTGAAAATCAAGATAGCATTTTCATTAACCACCCCCCACACATTTTCTTGTTAACAACAAAAACAAAATGCTATACACCTTATCCTGCACATCTGCACAGATGGGCTGTGGTTACAGTGGCTTTCTGGAGCCAGCTGAGGGCCTCGTCCTTCTGCAGGCAAAACACTCTCTTGGGTTTTTCCCCTGACAGATGGAGAGAAAACCCTACTTGGGTTTACTTGACTTTGGAGACTCTCTTTATTGCCTGTTGAATGGAAACAGATGTTTTACAACATAAGAACATCCAGATTTTTAAAGGATACAAAACTATGAACAGTCCTTAACAAAGGGATTCGTACAGCACCTAAAGTCTATTCCAATTCACTTGTCTATACTTCTAGCCAATATGTTTTGCTTCCCAGGGAGATTTTCACAGAGAAAGTAATGTTTTAAGTCAGAATAACTAGGAAAAATTTTAAGTGATCTAATTTCTGAAGAAGAAGACTATTTATAACAATGAAGATGCCAGTAGGTGTTTGCTTGCTCTTTCATTTATTCAGCTTCTCAGTGGGATTTGTGTATCCATGATATAATGAAGAAAAGGGAAGATCTGGCAAACTGGGCCATATCTTTGTGCCGCTGGCCTTATGAGTTTGGGCAAGTAATTTAATTGCACCTTAGCTTTCTTATCTCTAAAGGAAAAAGCTTGAGTAGATGAACTTTAAAACCTTTATAGTTATAACACTATGATTTCATAATCTATTAAGCTTTGATCTGTTTGGAGTATTAGTATAGTAGTCAAAGAACTGCATAAATCTATAGTGACATTTTAGAAGATGAAATGAAAGCTTTTGCTGAAAAATGTAGGATTGCAAAATAGTTAAGTCTACACTATTTTATAGATAATTCGAGATTGTCTGTATTTTGACTGTGTCCTATATGTAAGCTGATTGGTCACCTCCTCAAGCAGGATTCCATTTTCTGACTTTGGGAAAGTTTCTTCACTTTCCCATACCTTAGTGTCTTCAGCTGCAGCATGAGGACAATAATAGTGCCTATTCATAGGGTTGTTTTGACAGTTAAATATGCAAATTTGTCAAAAATATTTAAGATTGAGCCTGGGACATAGTAAGTGCTTAGTGGATGTTAGCTTTTCTTATTATGGGTTCTTATTTTTATTCTTCTTTTTGTTCCTCCCATTCATTCCTTTTTAGAGAGGAAAGAAGGACTTACTGGTGAATTTGGGAAAACCATTTAGTGTACATGGCTCAGTGTCTTCCTTTTAGTCTGTCATCAAGTAAGCAGTGTCCTTAGCAGGAAAGTCCATGACCGGGTGGGTATGTTTATTCAGGAGAGGACTGAGAGGTGGGGAGACTGTTCATGTCAGCTTTATGCTGATGTGTGAATCCCTTCTTTTAAAATCCCATGTCTTATTTCTCTATTTGTTTAGAACCGGGGAGGGGGAGAGATCTGTTTGTTGGCTAAACTACAAAGTGTTGGTTAATGGACTTGGAGTCAAACCTGGACAGGTCAGAGTTTTGCCCCTAAACAACCCTGTCTCTGGCAGGACAGCACAGCCACAGAAGGAAAAGGAGAAGGTGGGCATCTTGGCGACAGAATCTCTCTGAAAAAAAGGGAGAAAAGAATGGACTAAGCCAGTGGACTCAGTTTTTTCTTCAAATTCACCACTCAGTGCAGTTACTCTTCAGCCAGCTGGAGAGGAAGTGGGCAGGGAGAAGCCGCAAGTGTGCCTCTTACAGTTTTCTCTTGGAGGAATGGAAGTTCTCCCTGCTCCTGGAAATGAAAACAATGACACATACTATTTTTTTCCTCTGCTATTTGCTCAGCCAATGAATGATGGCTATTTACAGTAGCCTCTGAGCTCAGCTTCATGCATGGAATACCGACAAAATGAAAAACCAACTGCCATGGTAGTAATTCTGAGTAGAATCAGAGTCGTGATTGTAACAGTGATTAGTGAAGAAAATTCCTTGTCCCACAGGAATTTCTCCACAGGACCTACTCCACACATTTTCGCTTTCTTTTAACACTGGGTCATCCAGTTTTGACTGTATATCTTCTCTGCAAATGACTTTGCTCCGTATTTTACCAAGAAATTTGGCTCCCTCTTTATCTTGCCTTTCCAGCCTCTTTATCTGGCCTTAAGCAGACCGTAAAGACAAAATCTACCTCTTGCCTTTTCTCTCTTGCTCCTTCATTCTCTTCTTTATAGTCAAACTTCTCTCAATCTGTCTATTGCTTTTGTTTTCTCCCTTAAAATTCTCTTTTTTCTCTTCATTCTACTTAATATTACTTTTAAAGACCGTTAGTGTCCTTTGGGCAATCAAATCTAGTGGTATTTTCTCGCTGCTGAATACAAATTCCTCAAAAATCATGAGTGTTCCATTCAATAAATTTTGACCAATGTACACACACCAATAAGGTATTGAACGTTTCCTTCAACCCACAAATTTCCTCATCCACACTTCCTGAATTCTTACCTCTCATAAGCAACTATTGTGATTTCTACCTCCACAAATTAGTTTTACTTGTTCTAGAACTAAATAAATTGAATCATACAGTCTGTATTATTTTGTGTCTGTCTTTTGCTGAGCATAAATTTTTTTTTTTTTTTTTTTGAGAGTCACCTTATCGTTGCCTTTGTCGGGGATTTGTTGTTTTTTGTTTATACTCAGTAACATTTCATTGCGTAAATTATGCCACAAGTTATTTTTGCCTGTTCCGGGACATTTGGATTATTTCCCATTTGGGGCTATTATGAATTAAGATATTATAACTATTCTTGTGGAAGTCTTTTGTTGGACATATGTTTAATTTATTTTTCATTTCAATTCCTAGGAGTAGAGTTGTAGAGTCATGGAGTAGGAGTATTAGTGTATATATCAATTTATTAAGAGCTGCCTGTAGTTTTGCAAAGTGATTGTGCCATTTTACATTCTGGCAGTTTTTAAAATGTTTACCATCATAGTTGGTATGAAGTCATGTCCCATGGTAGTTATAATTTGCATTTCTCTAGTGTCTAATGACAGTTGAGCACCTTTTCATGTTCTCATTCCCCATTTTTGTATCTTCTGTGAAGTGTTTGTATCAAGTATTTTTTCCATTGGAATAAATTTGCAGTTTTTTCTTTCTTAACATTGAGTTGTAAGTGTTCCTTATGCATTCTGGATACAAGTGCTTTGGTAAGTGCATGTATTGCAGATATCGCTTCTAGTATGTGGCTTGCCTTTTATTTTCTTAACAGTACCTTTAGATGAAAAGTTAGTTTTTAACTTTGATGAAGGCCAATTTATAAATACTTTTATTTTAAGATAAGTGCTTTCCCTGGCCTTCATAAGGAAATATTTGCTTATCCCAGTTATCAAGATACTATCCTATATTTTCTTCTACAATGTTTATAGTTTTAGTTTTTGTATTTAGGTCTAAGATTCATCTCAAATTAATGCTTGTGCATAATGTTGGGTAATAGTCAAAGTTCATTTTCCCCCACATTATCCTATATTTTCTTCTACAAACTATAGTTTTAGTTTTTATGTATAGGTCTATGAGTCACCACAAATTAATGTCTGTGTGTGATGTGGGTAATGGTCAAAGATTATTTTGCCCTGTATGTTTATCCAGTTATCCCAGCACCAATTGTTGAAAGACTATTTTTTTTTAATTGAATTGCTTTGACATCCCCAAAGTCAAAATACCATTCATGTGTCTCTTTGACTCTCCCTTCTATTGCATCGATCCATTTTTCTATAATTTCTCTAAATATTATTTTAATTACTGTAGCTGTATTGTAGATTTGAAATCAGTTAGTGTGAGTCCTTTGACTTTGTGTTTTTTATAATAGTTTTGGCCACACTAGGTACTTTGACTATCCATGTAAATTTTAAAATTGATTTGTCAATTTTTACACAAAGAAACTGTTAAGATTTTTATTTGGGAGACAGCCTAAGTGATGCAGTCAGTTGAGCGTCCAACTCTGGGTTTCAGCTCAGGTCGTAATCTCAGGGTTGTGTTATTGAGCCCCGCGTGAGGCTCCGTGCTTAACACAGATTCTGCTTCAGGCTCCCTCTCCCTCTCCCCACTGTGCACACTCTCTAAAATAAATAAATCAGTCTTTAAAAACAATTTTTATTTGGGCTAAGTTGAACTGTAGATCACTTTGGGGAGAACTGGCATCTTAGCAATATTGTTTCTTTTTATATGTGGGCAAGATGTATCCCTACTTTTATTTAGAGATCTTTTAAATTTTCTTAGTCATAATTGATAGTTTTCAGTATAGATGTCTCTCATATCCTTTGTTAAATGTTTTTCTAACTATTTTATGGTGGTTTTTTTAAAAAGTTGCTGTAAATGGAGTTTTTAGAACTTTCATTTCCAATTTTTGTGGCTACAGTATAGAAGTACAATAGATTTTTAAAAATAGTGACTTTATAGTATATGATCCTGCTTCTGGTTCTAGTAGTTTTGTTAGTTTGTATTACTTCTCTTTAATATTTAAAGTGTCAGGGGGCGCCTGGGTGGCTCAGTGGGTAAAAGCCTCTGCCTTCAGCTCAGGTCATGATCCCAGGGTCCTGGGATCAAGCCCCACATTGGGCTCTCTGCTCAGCAGAGAAGCTCTGCTTCCTCCTCTCTCTCTCTCTGCCTGCCTTTCTGCCTACTTGTGATCTCTGTCAAATAAATAAATAAAATATTAAAAAAAACCATATAAAGTGTCACCCATCTCTTTAATTTTGAAGTACTCTCCTCCTGTACCTTTAAAGATTCTTTGTCAACCTGGTTCATCTCCTGTTTCTCTATTCATGCCTTCCCTAGGTGCCTTTTTATTTTGTTTTTGTTTCTGTTATTTGTCAGATGTTCATATTCTTCAAGAATCTTTACCACTTGCTGCTTCTCCCTCTTCTCCTGCCCTTTTTGTTGTTCTTTCTCTCAATCTCATCTATTCACATGGCTTTCCTTATCAGGTTTGTAGTCTTCCCCAGTCCCCTTCACCAGGCCTGACCACTTCCCTTCCGCCAGGGCCCCTTTTTTAATGGTCTAAAACATATCACCTCATTCTGTTATTACTTTGATCTCGGCACATTGGACCTTGAGATTATTATATATTTTCATTCTTTGCTTTGTAAACAGACACATCTGCGCATCTTGGCACTGTTATCTACTAGATGGGTGATTCGGGTAGGTTGTTTACTGCCTCTGATGCTTTATTTTCCTCATTTCTAAATTAAGGGTAATAATTCCAGCCTTCGGGTTGTGGTGATGATGTAGTTTAATGCACAGGTACATAGTTGATGCTGAACATTACTAATTTCTTTCATTTCTTTATTCAAAATATTAATATTTTCTCACCTTCTATTGCCCCCTTTTGGCCTGATTTTACAAGTTCTGTTATTCAAAGCCAAGTTCAAATGTTTATTCTCCCAAAATGCTTGTGATATACCTCCCTAGCATACCTGCAACTGGAAACTCGAATTTCCTGAATCCCTTTCTCCCTGTCTGATGGCATTTCCTGACTTCATTTTATGGCTCTAATATCTCCTTCTAGACCATGATATCCATAATGGCAGAATCTGTGGCTGATTCATCTTTGTATCTTCTGTGGCAACTAAGTAGTTCTCACATTTATTTGGTGCAGGATATTTAATCTATATCTATATCTCTATCCATTTATATCCATGTATACATGTATGTGTATTTTTGTGCATATCTATGTCTTCTTTTGTCCTCTGGCTTCTTCTTCAATATAGCCAATGTATACAAACAAAAAGCGAAAATAGAGTTTTCTCTCTTAAATCAAAGTTTTGATTACATAACATTCTTTTAACATAAGCTATCTGATTATAAACTATCTTTAAAAGTTAAATTATAGTAAAGATTTTTTATGCTCCAAGTATTTGTAGTAGTTGTGAGCCCATGACTAAAGTAAGGCTCAGATGAGCTACAAGAAAATGAATTGACACATGGCTTCTGATAAGTAAATGGGCTTTCTTATTCTCATGAATTTCTTTCACGTACTTTATTTTTTAGATTAAAAAGCCTTATATATTTGAGTATGAATCATAACCAGCTAGCCAGCATTCCTAAAGAACTTTGTTTTCTTAAGAATCTTTCTGAACTTCAACTTAACTACAATCAGCTCATTTACATACCTGAAGAGATTAAGTTCTTGAAGAAGCTCCAGAAGCTTCTTCTGGTGGGAAACAACATTGAAGTTTTGCCAGAGGTAAGCAAAACATGGAACCAAATTTTCATGGGGAAGAGCTCATTGTGACACAGTGGAGAGTGGTTATGGAATAGCTTTGGACATCTGAGTACAAGCCATCATTTGCTTTCCCTCCGATTAGGCATAGTCCATTCCCAAAGCTCTGTGACGAAAGAGGGTTATCACTTAGATATTCTACGTAGCTGGGGATGCCAGATTTAGTAAATAAGGGTACAGGATGCTCACTTAAACTTGAATCTCAGATAAGGAACGAATAATTTTTTAGCACATATATGTTCCAAATATAGTATGGGACATATTTATACTAAAAAAAAATTCTTGTCTGAAATGTAAATTTAAGCAAACCTCTTGTATTTTATCTGGAAGCCTTATATATGGCATAAATTTTAAGTACATTTTGGTTTTGGAATATGTGCTATATACCTTCCATTTTTCCTACATATCTCTCCTCCATCTTTTTCCAACATGTTTTGTGCTTGGAAAACTGACCTGCATGGGCATCAGTAAGCTCCTTTGTCCTCTGGCTTCCTCTTGGATATGGCCAATGAGAGCCACTAGTAGGAGGTGAAAGGGCAGGAGGAGAATGAGTACCAGATGGTATTCCCATGGATACCATGGATACTTACAACATCGAATGTTGTAAGTTGTCTGCACACTTTTCTGGTAGACCGTAATGAATATTAGGTGATCCTCATGTGGACAATTACTACTTCCCCTTGGCTTTTTAGGCCCATAGCTGGAAAGAACTCCTTGCTGTTGCCAGCTTTTGGGAACTTTGTGGGAACCTTGCCAAACTTTATAAATTACGGCTTTATTAAATTCTCCTCAAATTTCCCAGTTTAAGAGTACAGTTTCCTGCTAAGAACTTGTCACTGAGTTTACTTTCCTTCCCTATGCAAATTAAAGTTAATTTGATAGGAAGGGATGCATGTCATGCAGTAAGTTGAGGAATACAAAAAGTAGATCAATTCCTAATGTTTCATTTTTCTCTCAAGAGGATATTCCATTTAAAAATTCTGGGTGCCTGAGTGGCTCAGTTGGTTAAGCATCTGGCTTCAGCTCAGGTCATGATCCCAGGGTCCTGGGATTGAGTCCCACATCAGGCTCCTGCTCATTGGGAAGTCTGCTTCTTCTTCTGCCTCCTCCTCTCTTTCTGTCTCTCATGAATAAATAAAGAAAATCTTAAAAAATAAAATAAAAATAAATAAAAATTCTGTGCAAACTGTAATCTGATATGTGAAAAAGTGTATTTCAAAAATTTTATTCTTCAATTCCATAAAAAAAAATCCCAAGTTCTGCAGATGAGTAAGAACAGTTCTCAAAATTACAAACTAAATCTATTAAAAGTGTAATACTTTTATGTGAGGGAAAAACAGTAACAGTAGTACCACGATCATTGTCATGAAGCATTATATTATTTAGTGTTCATAACAACTCTGGGATGTTGCTCTTCTTATTAAACCATTTTATTTCATTTTAAAAAATGTTTTATTTACTTGCAAGAGAGGGAAAGCGAGTGAGAACACAAGTGTGGGGGAGGGATAGAGAGAGAGGGAGAAAAGCAGACTCCTTGCTGAGCAGGGAGCCTGATGTGGGGCTCAGACCCAGAACCTGAAATCATGATCTGAGACAGACGTTTAACCAACTGAGCCACCTAAGCACCCCTACCCATTTAAAATAAGGAACAGAGAGGTTATATGACTTGAACACAGTTTGCAAAGGTCAGAGAAGGGACTCAAATCCATGTCTGTCTGACTTAAAGGTCTGTACTTAGACTCAGTATTCTTACTACAATTTTTTTTAAATCCTGAGGAGTTTGGACTTTAAAAAATTTAAATGCTAGTAGGTCCTGTCCTGAATTATTATGTAAAGAATGCCTATGATTTATGTCCTTGTACATTTAATATGATTCAGCCTATCATTGTTCTTTTTGGTCTACATTATAAATGGTAAGACATTATAGGAAGTACTCATTTGTTTTGATAATGAACAAATTATGAATCATTTTCTGGTACATTATATTTTTTAAAATTTTAAAGTTTATTTCTATGTTTTTAATTTTTAAAAAGATTTTGTTTATTTATTTAGAAGAGAGAGCATGAGCATGAGTTGGGGAGGGGCAGAGGGAGAGGGAGAGGGAGGGAGAATCTCAGGCAGACTCCTCGCTGAGCTCAGAACATGATGCTGGGTTCCATGTGGGCCTTGATCCCAGGACCCTGAGATCATGACCTGAACTGAAATCAAGAGTTGGATGCTTAACTGAATGAGCCACCCAGGCATCCCTGGTATATTATGAATTACGTGTATGTTTGCACACGGATGTGAATGTATATGACCATTCAGTCACATTGGGCATGTAGAGACAGTAACAGATTTTATTTTTTTAAAAGGAAAGGATCGTGTCAGCACAGTCCTAAGCAAAACGTAGATGTAAAATAAATGCCTTTGGAATTGTTGATAGACCTTTTACACCTGTTTTCCGTTTTTTAAAACTGCTTTGTATTTTGATTTTAGTAATATCTACCAAGTTCTCACTATAAGGCCTTTCAGTAAGCACTTTCTGATTAGTAACTTATTTAATCCGTTCAATAACCATATTAAAGTAAGGGCTTCCATTATCATTTTCATTTTACAAATGGGGAAACTGAAGTACAAAGAGATTAAGAAATTTGTCCATAGTTACATAGCATCAGAGGTCAGATTTGAACCCACAAACAGTCTAACTCTTGGCCACCATGTTGCCCTGGAGTAGTCGGAGGAGACCATACAGACACCCCTGGACCTATGGATCTCCTCCAGGAGGGAGTGCTGAAGAATTGATCAGGTAATTAGGAAAGAAGGTCATTCCCATCAAGTTTGAAGCTGGAAGAAATTTATGATTCTACATATTAGATTCTTAAAAATCTCTCTTTTGTTTTCTGACACAGGAACTTTGTGATCTTATAAACCTAAGAATCCTAGACATAGCTGGAAATTTTATTCAGACATTTCCATCAGGAGTAAGTAGAGTCCACCTCTATTATAAGTGAAATATAACTTTGTTTATGCTACTGAAGTTAGAAAAATATGAGCAGTTGTAAAACTTTGTAGTAATTGGAACCTCGGGTTATACAGATGACTCAAAGATTTGCTTTGTTCTAGAATTTCAAAACCTGTTCTCTTCCATTCCTTCCTATGTGTTCTCTGCCTGCTGAAATTGTTTAAACTAAGTGAACTCTGATGGCTATCATAAATATTTTAAATGTTTTTTTATTTTATACTGCTTTGGTTACCTCAGACTTTTTGAAAATATAACTTTCCAGAGCATACATTTTTATCCCTTGTAATTAATCCAAGGTGACACTTTTGTTAGTTGTTTTTGAGCCATGAACAATGAAAAATATACTTTTTCCCATTTGGAAGTGAGTTTTGACTTTACTGTATTTCAAAAAACTGAGGAACAGTTGGTCTTGGTGATGTTTGACTTTTGGAAAAGAAATGGCCTTTTTTCATATTGCATTTTTATACCCAAGCAAGCTTAGTTCCACATGCAGGGCAATAATTAGAAGCTCATCAATCCAGAAGGTTTTCAATAAATATATATATTTTTTATTTGACAGAAAGAGATCACCAGTAGGCAGAGAGGCAGGTAGAGACAGAGGGAGGCTCCTTTCTGGCTCCTTGCTGAGCAGAGAACCTGATGTGGGGCTCGATCCCAGGACCCTGGGATCATGACCTAAGCTGAAGGCAGAGGCTTAACCCACTGAGCCACCCAGGCACCCTTCAATAAATAATTTTTGAGCTATTAAATACTTTAGCTGATTGATCAGCTCCAAGCTGAGATTTCAGTCCTTTTTACCCTTAAAGAAATTTTTTTCACTGAAAGCAACTCAAATATGAAAAATGAGTGTAAAGTCTGTTTTAGAAAAAAATGTGGCTTTGTTAAAATATGTATAACATAAAATTTACCATTTACACACTTTTGTGTGCAGTTCTACAGCACTAGGTATATATTCACAATGTTGCACAGCCATCATCAGCTGTTTCCAGAAGTGTTTCACTTTCTCCAACTAAAACTTTATTCCTCTTAAACACTGTCTCCCCATTCCCCTCCCCACACCCAGCCCCTCACAGCCACTGTTCTTTCTGTCTCTACAAATTGCACATTTGGGAACCTCATTTAAGTACAATATACCTCATAGAAACTTGCAATAACTTGTCCTTTTGTGACTGTATTTCTTGTTTGTTTGTTTGTTTTTCCCCACACATTTTATTTATTTTATTTATTTTATTAACATACAGGTCTGTGATTCATCAGTCTTACGCAATTCACAGCACTCATCATAGCACATACCCTCCCCAATATCCATCACCCAGCCACTCCATCCTGCCCATCACCTTCCCCTCCAGCAACCCTCAGTTTGTTTCCTGAGATTAAGAGTCTCTTATGGTTTGTCTCCCTCTCTGGTTTCTTATTTCATTTTTCCCTCCCTTTTCCTATGATCCTCTCTCTTGTTTCTCAAATTCCTCATATCAGAGAGATCATTTGACAATTGTCTTTCTCTGATTGACTTACTTTGCTTAGCATAATACTCTCTAGTTCTAGCCACATTGTTGCAATGGCAAGATTTCATTTTTGATGGCTGCATAATATTCCTGTGCGTGTGTGTGTGTGTGTGTGTGTGTGTGTGTGTGTGTGTGTATGTGTTTCACATCTTCTTTGTCCATTTGTGACTGTATTTCACTTAACATAATGTCTTTATAGTTTATCTATGTTATAGGCTGGGTTAGAATTTCCTTCCTTCCTAAAGGCTGAATCATATTCCATTGTGCATATCTGTCACACTCTGTTTATCCACTCATCTATCAGTGGACACTTGGGCTCCTTCCACCTTTTGGCTATATAGAATAATGCTGTTGTGAACATGAGTTGTACAAGTATCTGTTTAAGTATCTCTTTTCATTTCTTTGGGGTATATACCTAGAAGTGGAATTGCTGAGTCATATGGTAATTGCATGTTTACTTCTTCTGAAAAATTTTTATTTAAATTCCAGTTAATTACCATATAGGATAACATTAATCTCAGGTGTGCAATATAGTGATTCAGCATCTCCATTCAACACCCAGTGCTCCTCACAATAAATGCACCCCTTAGAAATCGCCAAACTATCTTCTAAAAACACATAGTTTTGAATGTTTAATGATTGCATGTTGTTAATATTGAATTTGTGAAGGCTATCAAGTCTTACCATTGTGCAAGTCTTAGTTCACCTCTCTCTGTCCTGTGATGCCTTCCAGGTTTTCCCAAATAGTCTTTTGGTGCTACCATTTCTGTGGTACTGTTAGATTTATTCCACGTAGTAGAATAATTCTTTTCAAGTCTGTCTTGCAGATAGACTGTAAGTTAAGTAAACTATTGAGTTTTTAGTTCCCTCAAAAGAATAATTTTTAAATCCTTAAAAAATCTTTTAAGCAAAGATCTTTCTCCAGCTCCTCTTTCCCTCAGGAGCCCAGTTATTTTTCAAATTGCAGTCATTAGAAGAAAAGGGTGACCTGACTAAAGTGAGAAAAAGTTTTAATGATGATTACCAGGGGTATCATGACATTTGCCTTTGATGTGAAGTGTATAACAAAGTATCTACAAAACATTTGCAGACCTAACAGAAAACTTCATGTTTCTGTAACACTTGTGATCAGAATTCTCCATTAGTCTAACTGCCTGAACGGTCATAACTGTACTTTTCAGATTGAGAAATGGCACTAAAAGTTATATTTCTAAAGCATTATTTTGCAATTGTTTAGTAATTAAATTGCAAAGCAATTTTGCATGTTGTTAAATATTCATAGCAATTAGATTTTGAATAGCCTATTGGAAAAGACCAAAATCTGGTATTATTATTCCTGTTTAGTTCTGAGGCTCCAGAGAAGTAATTTACCTATGGCAGTGGCCCTTAGACTTGAGAGGGCATCAGAGTCCCTGGATGACTTGTGAAAAGGCAGAGGGCTGGCCCACATCTGTACAGTTTCTAATTCAGTAGGTTGGGTTGCCCGAGAATTTTCATTCCTGTTAAGTTCTCGGGTGATACTGATGCTGCAAGTCTGGGGACCACATCTGGAGCACCCCTGTCTGGAGGTATAGAGCAGTGATAACGTTTGGACTTGTGCTCAAGATTTTTGGCTGCAAGCCCAGGGCTCTTCACATATTAGAACTTTCCTCTGAGAAAAAAAGAAATACTGAGGAACAAATTCTTTGTGTCACGAATGACAGTCGGGGCAGTCTCTGTTGTGCTACACAAATAAATGAGACCATTCTTTCATCTCCCAGGGAGTCTGGGTTCCGAGAGTTTCCCTGTATCCTCAACTAAAATGATACTCAAGGGGCATTCCTTGAACAATACAGTGCTTGCATACTCTGGAAGATCCTTTACACAGAAACTAGGATTTTGGTATGTGATCACAAGAAATGCCTATTAAGTTGGAAGCTGAGTTTTATATGTTACTCTTTTTCAGCCACTCTGTGGATGCACTTGGTGCATTGACACATCTTCCTAAACATTGATCTATCAGCCAATCTAAACATCGAAGAGGTTTTTAGCATGTAACTTTAAACACTGAGTTTTATTTTGGAGAAAGTTTGGTCAAATCCGTCATCGTATAATGTGTTGTAGTCTCTAACTTTTGTCTTCATAAAGTTTTCCATTTATATCAGGTGGTTGTATTTGGAAGTGAGGCTCAGGTCTAGGTAAAATAGTTACAAGGACATGTAATGTGATAACTTACAATATGATAACTCATGGGAAAGTGTTTTGCTTTTTGAGGCATTGAGGAAATAGGCTTTAAAAGATCTAAACCGTAGCCAATGCTTCATTTTCCAAAGTTGCTGTTTGCTTTCAGTTTCAAATTCATGGTATTAACATTCATGTGAAGCCGTGGCCTCCATAAACAGGTTCTGTGTTGGAGTTAAGAATCTTGAGTATTTGTGTATCCCTAAGGCCTGTAGGCATACAGTGTTTTTATAAGAAGAAAACATACAAGGAGAAAAAGCCTCATGCAGTGGTGTTGTCATGAGAAAAATATGCTTGGACTATTTATGGGAGGGATAATAGCTATAGCACCTATTCCATTTTATCAGTGCCCCCCTTTTTTCCTTCAAGAATTCTTCAGAGTCATCATAAATCAGATTTGAGAACAGGGCAAACACTTTTCTCTTTCACAGTATGAGAAACATAGGAAAAAAAAATGTAAGTAACTTTCCCAGAAACACAAATCATTTGAGTGGCAAAGAGACTATTTGAATCCACTATTCGCAAACAAAAATTAAATATGCCTAAGTTAGCAGTTTACCAGTTGTGTGACCTTGAGCACATAACCCAAGCACTTTGTGTTTTCTTTTTTTCCCTATGGAAATTGGGGATATTAATAACACTTCTATCATAACATTGTTGGGAAAGGGTTAGTCACAACAGTTTGTGTTCAGCAATACAGAATAAATAGATGATTAAATGAGATGATATGTATAAAGATTTTACTTGTGGTTGACCCGTGGTAGATGGTAAGTATTATTTTCTTTTTATTTTAAAGCTTGGTCTGAGCTACCTGCCACTGAATCCATCCCAAATACAGGGACACTTCCACGTGCTTTTAAAGCCATGAAAGCACCTGAATGATTTTAACTTGCCAATAGCAGAATAACCACCGATTTGTATGGGCAGGGGTATACCAGATGGGTACAGTCTTATTAGCACCTTACTCTGCTTTCTGTTCTCCGTGTGTTTTTTGCTTCAATAGCTGTTCCAAGTTATTTTCCTCTGCAGACCCATTTACAGTCTCCTGGCCTACCTTGGTTGAACAATAAGACAGAACCCAATTTCCCTGAAGGGGATCCTTCTTTCTTTGGATGGTCACCAGTGATTTTGTTTATTTGTCTCATCCTTTCACCCTCTTTTCTCACTTGCTTTTTGATTGTCATACCAGATTCCTCTGAAAATAGGACTCCTCATTACTGAACTCCCTTTCTCT